GAGTTTGACAAAATCACGAATGTCCCAGATCTCTTTGGAAATAAGGCGAATGTCCACAGGTGTTTTGACAAAGTGTCGAATGCCCACAGATGTTTTGACAAAGTGGCGAATGTCCACAGATGTCTTGACAAAAGTGGCGAATGTCCATTTCAAACTATAGAATGAATGGCTCCCTGTAGTGCTAATATAAAAAAAAAATTACTAAGTCTACTTGCCACCCAAATGAAAACCAGAATTAGAAATCTAACCAAAAGAACAGGTACAAGCCCGGTGTTGATTTTGTCAACAGGTGAGAAACACAGAAACACAAGTTATACTTTCGCATAGTTAATGTGAATAGCATGAATATTCAAAACACTGTTGCTGGTTTCAGTAGTGGATCATCCAGACAAAGGTAGCTTAAAACTGGCATATGCCTTGTTCTCAAAACACCTACGCTGCAACCTTTGCTCGATAATGGACATTAATTTGCCAGAATGTTAGAACATTTGTGGACATTCGCCACTTTTGTCAAAACATCTGTGGACATTCGCCACTTTGTGAAAACATCTGTGGACATTCGCCCTTTTTTGTCAAAACATCTGTGGACAATAGCCCTTTTGTCAAAACACCACTGGACATTCCCCCTGTTGTCAAAACACCATTGGACATTCGCCACTTTGTAATTTCTTTTTCAAGGCGAATGTCCCTTATCTCTAAAACTATGCATTATAATGACTCCAACTAAAATGCAAAGTGTAACATACTGTTGAAGGAATACCTAACATAATTCACAATCCTCTACCTCTAAAACTCTATCTTACAGATCAATTTGCAGCCTGCTTTTCGCTCTCCTGTAAAGTTGAGGTCCTTGGACATACGCCCCTTTGTCAAATGTTTCCTGATATGATAATTTGATGTATTGATGGTGTACTGCATGGTGCATGCATGAATAATGTGTATACATCTCTTTCTGAGAAATTTGTTAATTATTTTTTACCTTCTCACGAGTTTCAATAAATGGAGTTTTATTGCAGAGCTATAGTTTTTGTTTTTTTCCCACATTTGTTCCTGTGCGTGCCTACTTGATAGACAAGATTGGATAAAAGGGGTGGGTTTCTGTTATTCATTATTCTCTGCGGAGTCACAGCATGCATGTGTGTCAAACATCCTGATCACTAGTGAGACATTGGGCCACACAAGGACACATCTCTCAGATAAACCTTCGTTGTTATGATGCAGGTGATGTTTGAGATGAGAAGGCTACATCAACTTAGACCGAAATATTGCAGGTTGTTTGTTTATTTGCGATTTTTTGTGCATACTCCATAGAACAAGGGGTGAACATCTCGTGTATTCCTCTGTCCCGGGGTCCTGTATTACTTTGTATTACCTGATATTACTTGTATTCCGTGTATTACCTTGTATTACTTTGTATTACCATGTATTACCTTGTATTATATTGTATTATCTCGTATTACCATATATTACTTGCGCAATATTACGCAATATTACCTTGTATTACGTTGTAATACTTCATATTATTTGTATTACCAACTATTACTTGTATTACTTGTATTCCTCGTAATACCTGTAATACCCTGTAATACCTTGTAATACCTTGTAATACTTCGTAATACCTTTGTAGTATATCTTGTAATACATTGTAATACCTTGTAATACCTCATAATACTTGTATTACTTTGATAGTATCTGTAATACTCGTAATTTTTGTATTACTCGTATTCCCAATATTACTTTGTAATATATTCATCTGTCCCCGGCTCAGCCGGGTAGGTTCCGGAGGACACCCCCACCGGAG